TATTTTAGTTCTGGTCTTGATTCATTAGAAAATAATTTGCTAGTTCACATATTGATTTAGGTTTTCTAGAAAGGTACAATCATTAAATAGTGATTTTATTTTGTTTGAGCAAGGAATTTTGTATTTTGATGTTTCATCTGGTGTACAGAGAAAGCAAAATAGCCCCACTGAGCATCTAAAAGACACATTCATGTCATACTTTTCAAAGTCATTCCGAAAATTTTCCAATTCAATGAAATTGCTCAAAATATTGCAAAAGACTTTCTGTTCCTGTAAGTCTCTAACTTGTGGATTTCCTTCAGGAGATTATTCATTAGCTTATCTTCCAAAGCATAAGAAATGACATTTCCTTAGATAATATACAAACATGAATAATGCAGCGAAAGTGATGTTTGGATTCAATCATTGGGTAGGTTTGGGGACACCAACCTATCTCCTATACATAGTATGGTATACTTTATTCTTCTTGCATGCGTTAGCATTTTAATAAGTGTTTATATATCGCTATGCATGCTCATATATGTGTTACATCTAACTATATAGTGTCCTATTTCTGTTTCCCTTCATTAAAGCTGGTATTCCTCCACCTGATGTAGGTGCAGGCAAAGGTAAAATAATTCATTTGCATGACTTTATACATGTGTGAAATTTGCAATGTTAAACATGGGGAAGTGCAGCATGGGCTCACAAAAAGATGGGGGGAAATAAAACGTATTTTTAAATATCAAATTAAAAGATACTAAAACGAGAAGATCTTGACAGATTTGGGCTTTAAAATTAATTTCTAGTCTTTTTTACAAGTAAAAAGATATACATTGAATTCTCTCTAAAAATTTTACTCAAGTTATCCCTGGTAGCAATCCTAATCTTAGCTTTGAAAACTATGATTGTGACTGGATCAGCTAGAATCAGAACCATGCATTTATCTCAGCGCTTCTATACAGACAAGCCACATATGACCAGTTGCTGTAGAATTGATTCAGACTCATGGCGACCTCGTGTGTGTCAGAGTAGAACTGTGCTCCATAAGGTTTTCAGCAGCTGAATTTTTAGAAGTATATTGCCAGAACTTTCTTCTGAGGTGGACTTGAGCCACCATCCTTTACATTAGCAACTGTTTGCACCTCCCATTAACTCTCCTGAAAACATAGCTTGTGAGAAATCAGATCAGTCAAGCTTTCATTCTGATCTGAGTTCGCTGTACTCTTCATGGGCATAGTCGACACTCTGCTGCCTGACACTCTACTGTCCATCTGAAATTGTGGCTTAGTGACAACCTACAAGTAGCCTGGGACCCGCACCCTCCCGACCAGGGGCGCTAGGAGCAAGTCATCCTGTCAGCCTGAATGTTCTGCTCAGTTGTGTTATTCCATCCTGTCATCACCAAACTGCTGAAGTCTCTTCTTTCTGGGTAACACTTGGTAAAAGCCAACAGTCCACAACCAATTGCCTTTGTGCTTATTCCTCACAGCTCTGAGTGAGAAAAATTTGTTGGGAGAATGGGGCTTGAATGAATTGTAATATGTCTTCCACCTGTGGTAATCCCAAAGCACCCACAATCTTTGACCCTTAATTACTGAGGAGGAGAACAGCGTCCTAGAAAACTCTACACCATTTTCATGTGGAGTATCTGCATCTCCAGGTTACAAACACCTGACCTAAGTAGGACCTATAGTTATGAAGCAATTCTCAGGAAGCCTATTATATTAAAAATTCAAGGTGCATACAATTATAACATAACAAGCCACTACTACTCTGCAATTTTCATCAAAACATTACCAATATTATGTTAAAGCTGTTTTAGTGTATCTGGAAGTGTTAATGTTTTTGATGCATAGAAAGGTACACTGTATACTATAATCTAAGACAAACATTTGTCTGACATCCAGTATGAACTGTACCTAATTGTTCTGATTTATGTACAAATTTGACTTGAAGATTTAGGAACAGAATTTGTCTATAATCTGGGGACTATCTATACTTGTAGTGAAGGGTATTCTTGGGCTTTGACAGACTAAAAAAATGCAACAGGAATAATAATTATAATAAAGAAGAAGACAAATAAATTAGTTCTTTGTCTCAAGCTATTCAAGTCTTGTGAGCTTATGCCTGATACATTTCTTCTATTTCCTAGAAAACATAAATTTATCCTATGCATATTTATTCTATTGTACATTCTATATGTTTATTCTACGTATAAACAAATAAGAATTTGTTTATACTTGGAGGTTTGATAAATTATAAAATGCAGACCAATTAGATTTGGGGTTAAGTGGATACACACTGTAGTCATTTTCAGTAATCTTCATAATAAATTGCATAGTGTTTTTATGCTTGAAAGGACAATGTAACAATTCCACAATATTGTAGAAAGAAAGAAAGATTGCCTATGTGTACTTCTCTCCTGGGATAGTTAGATGTCAGTAGACATCATTTCCTGCTGCGCCTCTCGTGGCCTTTCGTTGAAGGATGCCACTGGAAGGCTGCCCCTTTCCTTGCTTCAGTGAACAGGTAACTGTGGCATCGCCTAGAGCTACTGAGTGTCCTTGGGCTGCAACAGAGCTGCTCATGGAGCAAGTGCATGTTTTCCCTTCACTGTTCATTTTAGAAGAGGACACACATTCCATTGAAAAAAAGACACCATCCCTCTTATTAACAAATATAAGAATTTTATTAAAGCAGCTTAGGTTTTACCATTTAATATTACCAAATTGAATTGTGAATTACTTATGATGATAAAAACAAAACAAAACCAAGCCTGATTCCCATAGCAGCTCTGTAGGATAGAGTAGGATTGCTATGTAGGGTTTCCACAGCTGTGATGTGTACTGAAGCAGATTGCCACATCTTTCTCAGGCAGAGTGCCTGGTGGCTTCACACCTCTGACCTTTAGCAGCCAGGTACTTAGCCACGGTGCCACCTGGGCTCCTTGAATATCCAGGCAAGCAAAAATGAAGTGTTTGAAGGTTCCTTAAGCCCCCAGTGTTAAAATATAAGGTTCGCAGACTCATAGTGACTCTATGTACAACAAAACAAAACAAAATTCCCAGTCCTGTGTGATCCTAATAATTATTGTTAGGTTTGAGTCCAATGTTTTTGCTATTGCATCGATCCATCTTCTTGGAGTTCGTCCTCTTTTTCCCTGATCCTTCACTTTTCCAAACATGATATCCTTTTCCAGGAATTGGTCCCTCCTGATAATATGTTCAAAGTACAAAGTACAAGTTTCACCATTCTTACTTCTAAGGACCATCCAGGCTGCACTTCTAAGACAGATTTGTTTTTCTTCTGGCAGTATATGGTACTTTCCATATTCTTTATCAACATCATAATTCAAATGCATCAATTCTTCTCTGGTCTTCCTTATTCATTGTCCAACTTTCACATGCATATATTGCTGTTGTTAAGTGCCACCCAGTCAGTTCTGACTCATAGTGAGGTGACTGAAAATACCTTGCATTGGGTCAGATGCACCTTACTCCTCAAAGTGACATCTTTGTGCTTGGACAATTTAAAGAGTTCTTTTGCAGCAGATTTGCCTAATGCAAGCAGTTATTTCATTTCTCGACTCTTGCTGCCATGAGATTTGATTGTAGATTCAAGAAAAGTGAAGTCTTTGACAACTTCAACCATTTATTCATTTATCATCATGCTATTTATTAGTCCAGCTGTGAGGATTTTCATTTTCTTTACATGGAAGTTCAATCCTTACTGAAGGGTGTCGTTTTCGATCTTCATCAGTAAGTATTTCAAGCCCTCTTTGTTTTCAGCAGCAAGGCTGCATCATCGGCATATTGCAGATTGTTAATGAGCCCCCTCCAACCCTACTGCCATGTTCTTCTTCATATAATCCAACTTCTTGGATTATTTGCTCAACATACAGGTTGAATAAGAATGGTGGAAGGATACAACCCTAATGCACAATTTTCCTGATTCTTAAACCATTCAGCATCCCCTTGTTCTGTTCTAACAGCTGCCTCTTGGTCTATATACAGGTTCCTCATGAGCACAAATAGTGGAATATCCATTTTTCACAAGACTATCCATAGTTGTTACAATCCACATTGCTGAATACCTTTGAACAGTCAATAAAGTGCAAGTAAATATTTTTCCTGGTATTTGCTGCTTTCAACCAAGATCCATCTGACATGAGCAATGATATCCCTCCATACACATCCTTTTCTGAATCTGGCTTGAATTTCTAGCAGCTTCCTGTTAATATACTGCTTTCATCCTTTTTGAATTATCTTCAGCAAAATTTTACTTGCATGTCATATTAATGATACTGTTTAAAGATTTCTGTATTGAACATCAAACAATTATTTTTGGTACACTGACTCTGGGTATTCCTTTCATCTTCTTTTGATGTTTCCAGTGTCATTCAATGTTGTGCCCATAAAATCCTTCAACATTGCAACCCAAGGCTTGAATATTTACTTCAGTCACTTCAGCTTGAGAAATGCTGAGCATGTTCT